GAAGCGACACCATTCAGTTCCAAATGTTCCGACAATTCGAGCAAATTGGATAGTAGAAATCCGGAACTTTTTCAGTCGATAAATGTGGCCAAGTCAGAAAAGAAACAAATCCAAGATACATCGAGCCGTGAATCATTCATGACAAATCTTGATGTGTTTTTCAAAGATGATTTGTTAAAATCACCATTTTTCACCTTTTCACCTAAGGAAGGAACCTTGCAACATGTGAGTGACGATGCTGCCATGAATCCATTTACTTCAGTGAGAGATGGATTGATCTGGAATCCATTTAATCCAGCTGCTTCTGAGGACGAGAGTGGCTATTTGGTACCCAAATCATCACAACAGTATGAAAGAGCTGCTTTTAATTCCGGAAACAACACACAATCAAGAGTGTCTGAACCGAGGAAATGGTCATCGAGTAATCCTTTTCAAAAGGAGAATTTTGCGTTTGAATTACAATTTCCTGACGACAACAAAATTGAAACACTCAACCCAAAAGCGTTCGAATGCTGTCTACTGAATTGCGAAGAAGGCGTAATCAAGCAATCGACTGACTCTAAAGCAGAGGAAGCTAAACAATTTGGTCCATGGGAATATGATGACGTCATTTCATACAAAGGAAATTCTGGGCGACACGTGAGAGATGAATTGGTCTTGAATCCATTTGTTCCAGCTACTTCTGAAAACGAACAGACGAAAGAGACAAATGCATGTCAATATTCCATCGGTGGTGTTTTCGATTATTCAAGAATGCGTGAACATCAATTACGAAAACATGATGAGGACGAGAGTGGCTATTTCGTACCCAAATCATCACAACAGTATGAAAGAACTGCTTTTAATTCCGGAAACAACACACAATCAAGAGAAAAACACCAAAGAAAGGAGCTTTCAGACAACGAGAAAGACGACTACATTCGGATGGGACCTGCAAGAAATACGAAGTTTTCCTGCGAGTACAAATCACATCAGAATAAAGTCGACGAAAACCAGCGACGCCATCAAAAAGCTGATTTAAAATATGACACCGTCGAAAATACAGGAGTATCCGACACCTGCCGTCGAAGTTTATTGTCCCAACGCTCGCTTAGTGACAGCGCTATATATAAGGAAGTCGATGTTGACGACAGCAAGACGCGAACCTGTGGGAAGTACGAGCACAGTGAAAGAAAGCAAGTGAAAACATCTTCCAGCAAAGATAACATTGAATGTAAAGCAAAAAGAAGCCTTTGGTCTCGGTTAGCTAAATGTATTGTAAAAAACTCCAAACAAACATCCATAGAACATGTCAATTGGCAAACGAAGCTCGTTTGTGCATGTGGGGGTTCATGTGAACGAATAGACAGTTTGGCGTTATCATCAGATGGACACATATGGGTGTCGTTCCTCCACTGTTCCTGGGTATCAGTGTATGTCCACGAATACATTCCCGTTCGTAAGTTTGACGCTGGATGCATAGTTGACTGTCTAGCTGTATCCCCGGCTGGTGTGCTTTACATCTCTTGTCCAACGAAGAAGCAGATTCTGATGCTCTCAAAAAACCTCGAGGTATGTGATTATATCAGTTTATTCTACTTAGATAGATTTGAATTTGCTTGTGATTACCATTAGATGTTTACAGTTTCATTGCTATGGCGCTTTATGCCACTTATAGATTTACTAAACATCCAAATGACTATGAATGTAATATTAAAGATATTTAATATTCAAAATTACAATGAAAAGGTATATTAGATATATTATCTCACAAATATCCTAAAATACTAATTAAAAACCATTTTTGGTGAAATATTAATATTGTCATTACTTCATCCTTGTACGTTATTGATAAAGAACAGTATGTTTTTAGTTTTGCTGTCCATTAAGTAAATTTATTTTATTTCTACCTAACAGTACCTGCGGCAATGGCAGCGTTGCGTTACTTAACGTTTGAAGCTATAGGTCACTTTGTAGGGATATGTGTTAACCAAATGATTCAAAATAGAATAATATTAAAATAATCTATACAAACAAAACAGTACAGATAAATTCGTTTATACCTGTTAAATTTTTAAAAGTTTTTTCTTCCAATAATATATTTATTATGTAAATACCGTTGTAAATGTTTGTATTTGATATTAAACGGGTGCCTTAGTGGCGCATTGGATAGCAGGATAACAGAAAAAGGATGATGTAGCTAAAGGTTTTCAGGGTTTTGTTTTATGAGGGAGGGATTTCATAGTGACTTCGATTGACACCGGTATTAAAGAAAAATCCGGAACCCAGTACTTCAGTACCGATTTCATGTTAAAGATAATGTAATTGTTATGATTCGGATTGTACTTTTGAACTATCATTATGTTTAAGTTAATTCGAGTAAAAAAATAAATACACCATGTCACACAATTTAAAAAAAGTATGTATCATTGTTATCTTATTCTTTTTTCTTGATCTTGTAAGCTGGAAAGAGCAAAATTCATTCTTTTATATAATATTAAAATGGCTTTACCAATTCAAGAGGTTTGCTGATAAGGTCGAATTCAATTCTATGTAATACATGTCACCAAACTACAATTTTCACAATTTAAGATTGTGTTCTTCCAAAGTGGGCGAAACTGATTCTCATCTGTTATTATACAATTCTGTTTGTTTCTCAGGGGGTTTAACTTTAGATATATAGATTGATATATTCATTCTGTACCAGACAAATATAAAGGTACATTTATCCTTTGTTTAGATAAATTAAAAATACAAACATTACTATGTTGCTAATGAAGTGAATTATTGCACGCTTTATACATTCAGGATTTGCCTTTATCTAACAGATAACTCAATCGAAACCGAGACTTAAAAAAGCCTCAATTAATCCAATACTTCCTCCTTTCGAGATGTGTCATTACTTCATTGGTGTACACGTTTCTATAAGAGCCAGAAACATATGCCAATCATCTAGTTTCTCTTCAACAATTAATGTTTCGTAAGGTTTCACAAAAGACGTTTACTTTTTTCCATCACAACGTTCATTTCCTATTTGATTTTCTTTCAAATTTCATTATCTTGTCTTCTTTTTTCTTTTATTTAAATAAAATGCATATTTGCGTACATTATCCATATTCGATTTGGCATTCATGATGTTAAATTTAAATCGAAACTAAAAATCTGTTTTTATTACAGTTGATTATAATGGGCCATTTCAATAAACTGCATCCAAGGGGTCTTGCAATATCCCCAATAGATGGATCTGTGGTCGCCTGTATGACGTCACAAATGGTCGGAAACGTCATGAAAGGTCCATCAAAGAATTGTCTGATGAAATTTCCAGGAAAAAAAGCAAACGAAAAAGGACAAGTTCTGAACAAAGAACACTTTCTAGGATATCCTCTGAGGCTCGCTATCAATGTCAATGGATATATATTAGTTTCAGATTTCGGTTTGAAATGTATTTTTGTTGTAAGTCAAGAGGGACACATGTTGAACGTGTTTTCGACTGTGGGAGATAGACCTTTTTGTCAGGTGCATAGCCTTACAAGTGGAGAGTCGTTCTACGTTGTTCATGGTGGACGCGGTCAATTGTCTATCACTCGACTAGGCGAATACCGGGGCACCGTGGTCGAGACGACAACATCGCGACGACTAGATCCGGATATTTATTGTAAAGTTAGAGCAACTGCCGTGGTACAGAATGGTCAGCTTGCAGTCACATCCGGAACTATTATCAAATACGTTTCTCCGGATTGATAACTCCATTTTTGCAGTTTCGGATATAAACAGTGTTTATTTCTGTATGAAATTAATTGTTAGAAGCGACATAGGTGATTGGGGTCAATATGATGTGTTATTGTGTACATTTTGGGTGAAGTAACCCGATTTAACTACACAAGTGCGGGTTAGTTATGAAGGTCAAGCGCGTTTTTAATACACGTATAACAGCATTTTAAGTGCGATATAGAATAATTTAGTCATGAAAGGGACACAGATGAGTATGCATGTGCTATGTAGAGAAAGATGCGAACTATATTTTGTGCAATGTAGCGAAGAGCCCTGCCTCTAGTTCTATTAACATGTAATCACATTACTAAATTTGCTAACGCGTTGATAAATCTTCAACACTGTGTGTTTTCGTAATTTTTGACGGACAACGGGAAATTTATCGTCTTTTATTACGTAGTGCACATGCAGGGCAAACCGTTATGTGACAGGTAACTACCGAATTAATTAATTATCCGGTAGTTAAGGAGTCTATTTTCAAATCAAACTAGTTGACCTCCTGAAATGTTTATAAAGCCGCGAAAATACGACTTTTTGAATGAGATTACCAAAGCTGCATAACGTCGGCTGCTTTATCTGGAAAGGTTTTTGGGCTTTATATGTTGACTGAAGACAATAGGGTTACATTGTGCCTTTAGAAATACGCAGTCAGTTATTGAGAAAACAAAAATAGCATTGAAGTCATGCATTTGTTAATTCAAAGCTACATTTTTACTCTTTACACTTTCCTAACGTAATGGTTATCTCCCTTATTCTAACATTTATATTATAGTGGTACTTCTGGCTGATTAGCTTGGCCTACGTCTTCGATGTTGGTTTAGAATGAATAATTGTAGTAGGCATGTTTTTAAATCGATTACATCTTGGTATCCGACCCCAAAGGTACTATTTGACGAATTATGTTCTTTATCGTACAGGAAACCACATGTAGAGTACCCGCAGATAATTTCAAATATTATATGTCACTTTGTGGGCCATAATTTAACAAAGTGCGATCTTTATAATTTTATTTATCAATGTATTACTCTACATCATTTATGGAGTAAAAACAGCATCGCTCGGTTTGCAGGTTTCCTTTCCAAGATCTGACAGTTCTGTTTGTTTGCACGCAAGTACCCGTTAATGGGTAGATCACTAGTCAACTCAGTTGGTGCATAACCTAACCGTATTGAAGAAATGCAGTCGAAATCCAATACAACCAGAATTTCTTCTATCATTTATGTAGTTTACTGTCTTTTAACTCGATGTGGCATGTAGTGACTAGCCGTATCGTGTGGTGTCAATTGATTATGGCTTTGTTGTAAGGTGATTAAATATCTTAAAACTGTTAGCATTGATTAAAATAAATCCATATATTTTATAGAGGAATACTTTATTTTCTTAAGCATTAACTAATTACACCAATGAAATGTTAAAAAACAGAAAGAGAAAAGAAATGTAATAATTTAGGAAAGAAATGACTAAAAGAGTTCTATAGAAAAAACTTCTTTATTTGACATTCATCTATTTTCAGTTGCATGCTAAAAATTGATTTTTTTTTATGCAGAACATTGTATCTTTACAACAGATACGGGTTTTTTACAATGCAAAATAAAATACAGTCTTGTAAATATTGTTTTATTTCTTTTTTATTTGAAATCTGCCACCGAAAATACGACAAAAATGTATAAACATAAATTACAGAATTTTAAATTAACGTTGACCGAAAAAGAAATGGTTGTTGCCATTTAATGGTGAAGAATCACTTTGAGCCATGTCCATTTCACCAATCAGATGTCCGACGCAAGTACCATAAACCTGATTTTTCTGGCCAAAGAGGGGGAAGCTCTGGTCCTGTCTGACCTGGACGAAAACTCTCTCCCCTTTTCCGACGAAGACAATGACAGAGTTACCTGCAGAGGTATGGCTGCTGTAACCGGCCAGAGAAACAAGGAGCTCTGTATTTTTAATCAGTTCCAGCCACATCGCGTGATCAGTATTAGAATCGTAGGCATGAAAATCAAATTTGTAGATTCCTGATTTGGGAGCAGTAAACACTCCAGTGTTTCTGTCGTATCCACCTCCAAGGTTGGTAAAAATCTTGTCATATCTAACAGTATCACCGGAGTTCCCTGTCACTGTGCGTGTAAGCGCTGCAGCGAATGCAACCACGTGTTTGTCGCCATGGTGATCGTTATATGTCTGAGATGCAGTTGTTGAGGGACCTAAGAAAGACAAAAAGTAGAATTAGTTATTATATAAATAATAGCTTTCACGTTTTAGTGGCATTTCCATCGTAAGATGAAACTTGTTTATGCTCATAAGTGAATCATTATTTGTAAATTAGAATACTAAATTTAACATGTACAATTTAAACTTGAATATAATTTAGTGAAATCTGACATTACCTTGTGACTGGTGATGTAAAATAACTACTTAAAAACGATAAAAGGAAGTATCTATTAAGAGGGATACAACCAAAATTCAAATATATGATTAAACACTCAGGAAATGACTAAATGTGTGGTCTCTCCAGACACACTTAACGTAAGTGTATGAATACACTTGAGCTGATATATCGGTAACAACAACTTCCTTATCGCCAATTTGCTTAAGGGAAACGCATTTTAAGAAAAAGGGAATTTATAAATAAGAATGGGGAAAAAGACTGGGGTAACAAGAAACCAACGAAGATAGAGCATCGGGATACAAGAAGTCACATAAGCAATTGTTCCTCCCCAGGCCCCTCCCTAATGAACGATAGAAATTGGTGGAACAGAGAACAAGATTGAGGCAAACTGAAGTCACACATCAGAGTATAAGTTCCCGTATCGCGAGTATTTTACGGACATAATGTGCTATTAGTGTAAAACAAGTCACTTTGTAGCATGTATATCCCTCGTTTTCAGGACATGTATGAAATGTAGTCTATTGTATCCTCAAGAATTAGCTCAGTCTGAAAAAAAACAGACAGAAAGACGTTCCCCTTTTATTTGACGTTCCATTCGACTCAATTTACGTTACATATGCGCATTTATTTGTGTCTCGTTTTACCTTCTTTCACAAGTGAAAAAAAAATTACATACTTTTTATCCAAATTGAGTGATTCGGTTTTTGTGCTGCCAAATCAATTTATATTCATGACAACAGAGACTATTTATCCGACAGTGTAAAAACCTGAAGCCCAGGGTACGAATTGTAATCTAGCGACGCTGAATAATATTTAAATAAAATTACAGCAAGTTTTAGTTTTCTTTTCAGAAAGGACTAATTGAGCTGATTGCTGTTGTCGTCAGATGCCTCAATTTTATGTCAGACTATCAGATTTATTTAACTAAATATCTCGTTTTTACTTAGGTCATTGGCAAATATGCTGTTTCTATGATGTTTTGTAAAGCAAGTGTTATACATAAATAGCTAAACTTGAATTAAAAATATAATGATAATGTAAATGTACTACATTGTGGAAAATGTCGTGTATCTTCTGTGAGATGTTGTAATGGGAGGGCTAGCATAGGTTTTGTATGGTGGCAGATGTGTGTCAGTTTGTTAGTCTGTAGCGAAATAACAATAAGTATGGCCGCCAAATAACAATACGTATGGCCGTCCAAATAACAATAAGTACGGCCGCCAAATAACAATAAGTATGGTCGCCAAATAACAATAAGTATGGCCGCCAAATAACAACAAGTATGGCAGTCAAATAAGAAAGGGCCGATATAGCTATGCTTGCTGTCCAATTTGATACATCCAATCTCAAATATAAATCATGAACTTTGACATATGGATCCATATTGACGTTCTAGAAAGTCTCCAGTTTCTCTTTTTGTGTTTTCCATCTAACAAATAATAAAATTGAGACGACTTACACGATAGTGCTCTCCTCTCATTGACAGTTTGACCGCAATATACATACCCCTGCTCCTGTCACTATTGGTTTTGTTCACGAACATTAAAATGGAACTTTATTACTTTTATTCTAATCTAATGGGAATTTATTTTTGAGCAACATTGAATAAAACAGATGATTGATTTTTTTTAATGAATGGTTTTTTATGCTTCTTTAAAATGTTTTATATATTAATTTTGTAATGACTAACATTTTTGTATCAACATTACAGAAGAACACGAATAGTTCCTTGGTTTAAATAAATAAGTGACACATTCCATTAGTTCCTTTATGATAATCTACACAGTTTACAATAAATATCAATGATTATAAGAAAATTCTTTTACTGCCGTTACATTATAACTGTCTGTCATGTTTCTCTTTCACATACAAATGCATCGAATCTTATCTAAAGGATCCCTGTCCCACTGAACTCAGGATTTCCGTATGAACAGTAGTCTCACCTCATTTTCGATTAGAATATAACTGTAGTAGAGTTAGAACAGGACACTTTCGTTTACCAGGTACACTGTCGATTAGAGCAAGAGTATAACACTCAGAGGTCCTGGTTTCGAATCTCGATTGAGAAACGTTAAATTTGTAGTCTCTTAACAACATATTTGATTAACTTATGTTTATCTTTTTTTTTTTGTAAAAGCCCGACAATGTATGGTTTTCTTTTTCAGGAAAATATTTATACAGCACATATACTTATGCCGACACAACAACAATGTCCAATGCGTAGTTTTTGGCAGTGGTACATGGACCCTAAAATCGTTCAATTAAGGAATGTTTCGTTTTTCATAGCTCAAACTGTTGCTACAACCAGTGTATAACTAGACCAGGCTTTATCTTGTCTGATTACACCACCAAGCTTCAGATGTAATGAAATACCTATGTATACATGCAACGCCTTAACACTCAGTACTTCGTGTTATCTTTCTGTCTCTCTTATCGCAGAATGCAGATATTCTGATTCACAACGTTAGCTATTTCATGTGAAATATTTTTGACCAAACTTGAATTATAATATAACAAACTATTTTATAATATTGTCAAGTGAAAAAGAAAAACTAATAATTTTACCATAATTTTTTTTCTTAAATTGAAAGTAAATAAATAAACAAAAAAATCACCTTACTTTAATATTTTCACTTTCTCTTCAAATAGCAACTAATTTCTTGTCTGACTAATTATATAGCTCATTTATATGGATATGTGTAGGCCCTGACTTCAGAAACAATGCCAATGTTATCTTTCTATGCCTTTCTATTACAGTTCATCAAATAACGATGCTTGAAAAAGATATTTTTAAGATGACAAAACTTGTTCCTAAACATTTTATTTGTGAACTCTATCAAACATTGTATTGCATATAGTTTCGTAATAAATGCATATATATAGAAAAATAATCAAACACTCGAAACTTTTAAGCATTTTTTATTATCTCTTTTGATATATCACAAGGTGTTATCCATCCTTACATGTGTTAAACGTTAATCAGTCTTTTACTATTATTGCCATCAACAGTTTTGAATTAGAAATACTGGATTGTCCAAAGCCCAACATCTTATTGGTTATACGATGTTCTTATCGTCCAGCCGCCGGGAAGTTAGGGAACTGCTGGAAGATGTTGCCCGAATCACTCTGAGAACGGTCCATCTCTCCAATCATGTACCCAGAGAAGGTCGCATATACCTGGTCGATCTTTCCGAATAATGAAAACGACTGATTAGGTCTCGCCTGAACATACACGGTTTCTCCGGCGCTGAGATAAACAATGACAGAGTTTCCGGCAGACGAGTGACTGTTGTAACCAGAGATTGACACCAAAAGTTCAGTATTCTTCTTCAGTTCGATCCACATGGCTTTGTCTGTGTTAGCGTCATACCCATGGATTGTAAAGGCATACACACCACCTTTTGGTGCTTTGAAGTTTCCAGTGGTCACGTCGTAGCCTCCTCCGATGTTTGTAAACACCTTATTATAGCGAATTGTCTCACCGGAAGTCAGGGGCATAGTGTGGGTCAGGCCCGCGGAGAAAGCAACAATGGTATTACCTGCAAATACATAATTTTTGAAAATACAATACTCTAACCATTTTACTCTGACAACGGTTTTTTAAATAAAGGATAATTGGAGATGATTACAATACGGCTTCACCCTGACCCCATTTTATAAAAAAATTATTATTCGAAAATATTCATTTTCACGTCAGTTCTTCCAAATTATTGCGAGAATAATATATTGTTTGGGTATTTCTCACCAATCGAACAATTAGAGTGATGTTTAAAATCCTTTTTATTTCCTGTAAGCCTATATATACCATAAAGAGAAATTGAACCTAGTGAAAAACAACCAAATGGAGAGAAAATCAGTCCAGAGGGACTGTTTTATTTATAGACAAAACGTTATATTTGAAACACCACACAACCTTTCCTTGTTATGGAAATTCCGTGGTCTTTATAGAGAGGCTGCATACATGGCATATATTGCAATTATATCATTCAGTGTACATTATGGATGGAGTTAGACATGTGGTCTTTATAGATATGGTAATACAAAGTAATGATTGTTTAATGTTTTGGTAACTTTATATTTTGATGATAGTAATAGGCAGACGGTCTATATAGACGGTTGATACTAGGTTTATATTATAAGTTATTTTGTTTGACACTTACTAAATATATACGTGGTCTTTAAAGACATATGCATGATCTTAACAAAGTTGTTACTGCATTAAAAGCTTTGATATGAAAACGAGGGGGGGGGAGGACTCGCTGAGAAGGAAGCGAAACCAGATAAATTAAGGAATGTGAACAATTATACAAATGTATTTATTGTCGGCAGTTGTACAGCTAAATCATACGACATCAAATAATTCAACACAGTTTTTTTTATTAGGAATAGGAGAAACTATAACTAAAGAAATTTCTGAACAAATATAATAAGTGATATTTCACGCTGTTATATATAATTTCGCTGGAGACATAATTATGTTAACTGTTACCTAAAATCATTGCATTTCACTCACTTACTGACAAGGTGAAAACGTGTTTAACAAAATCGTAGAAATTCATGAACAATTCTGCAGTTTTAATGAAAGATGCAAATACGTAAGTTTCTTTTGAAATCTTTATCTCATTATATAAAATATTTCTTGACTTGTTAATGTAGTAGCATATAAAGTTAATAAATATTGCATAAACACTTGATTAAATGCTAAGAGAACACAGAATTCTAAGATGCATTTGTATATTCAAGTAAATACATACCCTGTTACGTCAAAGCTTTGGTGATGAGTACGCATTTTCGCTCATAAGCACAGACAGCCAAAACCACAAGCGAAGTTTGTATGATAAAAAAGCTACCGAAATAGTTCAAAGGCGAAAAATCAAAGTAAAAAGCGTTGTAAGCTTCAAAACAAAACAAACAAAATGACTGCAGCCGAGGAACAGAAAAAAGAGCACTTAAAAAAGGACTGCTGTCAAATAACAAGCGTTATTAAGCTGACATAAGCAAATATTAAGTTTTGATTCAATTAAAATGGGAGTTCCATCAATCATTTTTAAGTTAGGATATTCAGTATTTATTACGTTACTAAACTGTTATGCAAATAGTATATACAAATATTATCATATCACCTTTCTTTAGTGTAGGTTCACTAATGACAATTAGTACGACGCAATACAAACTTAAGTTCGTGATGTCGAGGCAAAGACATTGTCCACTAACTGTACGTATTTTGACCGTTCTGTATGTTAATTGAAAATTCTACACTTGCCATACTTAAATAAAAACTTCAATTCTTATTTATTTGATATAGAGTTAACATGCATGTATGTTCGTGAATATTATTTGATACTCATAAATCATATCCTGTATGAAATACGTAAAATAATATGAAAACTCTGGATAATATTTTTGATAAATTAGGATTTCAAAATTCCAATGCATTTTCTTATCAGGTATATATACCACATATGTGTCTATATCCTACATGTTACATTCTTATTAGATCTCCTGCAGATACAAACATTTAAATGATTATAAATGTCATTTAAAAGAGGGTAGACGTACGGGTTCACGTTGAAAATATCGTTGTCATCATTTATCTTAAACCCCGTACTTGATTTTCCAGATCGCGTGTACTTTAAACACCTTTCAATACCTTATGTACTCTTACCTATGTTTAGAATGTATTGTTGGACGTTACAATGTTACACAACCGTCTGATATCGGCCACATTTGTCACTGTCGTTTAATAAAGGCCTTAATTTGATCTAAGGAACACATGGGTCCTACCATGATCTATAGTAATATGTGAGTGTAGCTTTTGTGAGTCTTGTTGACGATTACTAAAGGCTGTTTATAATGATTTAGTCTGTTGCTAGCAACCACAGTTACACTAAAATCTATGTACTTTAAAATATTAAATCGATATCGCTTATCAGTGCCCGACACATTATATATTCACAATACATAATCCGTCGATATCTAATGAAAGTCAATTAGACATTGAATCTGAAGAAAACTTTCCGTGGGATTAAATGTTCTTTCTACTTCCCTATTTAGAACTTGAAAAGAAATTTACTTTGGCGAGAATATTGTTAAATAAGATCTCCTGAACTTGAGATATGTTTATCAACAATCATTCGGGATTAAATCCTTTTCATAAGATAACGTTATAAACATAAAGACCAGCACGGAAACAGGAGCGGTAAAGTGCACATAACAAATCAGTAATGCTTCATACCATCTTCTTATCTCTCAATACCAAAACAAAATAACATGTTCACCATTTCTGTTTCCTAAACACTAGCATTTGTGCTTCTAATAAAGACATATACAATGTTCTCATTTGGTAAGCATTGTGGTTTGCATAGCCACCGTAATGCAAATAAAAATTATTTCGTTTGTCAGGATAAGACTTGTGTATGCTAATGTAGGTCAAAATCATCAAGTATAATTCCTGTGTATTTGCTACTGCTCATTTCATAAAAAGTACAGAGTCCCATATTTAAAGTTATCTCCATGCTATTGTAGAAAGGGTTTCTTTGATGTTAAAATGCATTGAAAGAAATCAAGCACGCAAGATTGATGGTGATTTAATCAAACACGATCGGGTAAAACTGTAAAAAAAGTAGCATATGCAATAACCCCAAACATTTGATTAACCAAACATTATGTAATTCTCGTTCATTTCGATTTATGATAATTATCGAAATATCAGGTATATATGATTTATAACGAGTGATTTTAACTTACATACCGTGGTGTCACAATTTTTAATTATGTACATTACAAGGAAAGCGGTGCTTCATTTAATTATCAAGCATTGCAAGCTAACAAGATATTACAATAATAAATATAATATCATAATAATAATAATTAGAAGTTCTTATAAATCGTTTTATCACAACCTAGTTCATAGGTCGTCTCAAAGCGGTTACACAAAAAATATTATCCGTGGTTATAGGGCCTTTGCAACCAGCCAATATATTTCTCAACTCCTGGGGAGCATACAGCCGGTGTTGCCATTTCAGCTCCCACAGCTAGCATTCAACAATTCTAGCACTGCTCAACCACGTACTCATTTACAGCTGAGTAGACTGGAACAAGCAGAGTAAAGTATCTTACTCAAAGATACAACACAGAGCCGTGCCGTGGCTCGAACCCACAACCCTTCGGTCACGAGCCCGCATCCTACCACTCGACTGTCATGCCTCCTATTAATTGATATAATTTTTCGTGAAGATATCTTTGTATTTATGTTGATTAATTATTTTACAATGATTTACCGGCAGAAAAAATAGATGTGTGGCATTTCCATATTCAAAATGCATTTGTGATTCCCCCGATTTACAGGAACAATTTATATTCATGGTACAAGTGCAAAGTAAGTAACAAAACATTTATTTACCTGTAGGTGCGCCATTCACAAAACAGGCAGCTAGTACCACACTCAGGAAAGCGATGATGGGACTCATATTGTTCTGACTTGTGTTCTGTAAGATTTAAAATAAATTAGTTCTTTTTCAATCATTTATTATGTTACTCATACAGAACAAAACTATGTAGTCAATGAAAGAAATACGTACACCAAAGCAAACTAAAATAATGCAAGAATAAATTTAAACAATATCTCTTTATTGATACCATTATTATTTCTGTGTATTAATGTGATAGCACAATGAAACGTTATACTACATGATGACACGGTAACGAACATGAGTAGCCTCGTACCGGTTATGTCATATGAAAACCACAAAGTGTTCCTAATTTGCATAATAACATATTACAAAATTATGAAAATATGAATGTGATTGAACCTCTTATTTATTTCAGAGTGTTATATTGGTTCTTACAAACTTATATCCATCAACAAGATCATATATTTCAGATATAATTCATCTATTTAGTAAGAAATAAACCATCTATTTAGTAAAGTATTTAGAGTAAAGGGGTTCATTGAAAACACAAGTACTCAGAAACGAAATGCATTTAAACGTTTTGTCCTTTTGGTTTTATTAACGAGAAGAATTATCAGGGTGTATATTCTCATAATCAACTTCGCATTGTTTAATAAGGTACGCAATAGCTAATCAATTCAATTTTTTTAAGTCATATGATTGTTATGGCCATATCATCTGTTGATTGCATATCATACGTAAAACAAGTTATATAGCCATCAAATGAACAAATGAAAAAATCAATATAATAAAGTTCTTATTGTGAAAGAAGATCAGTTAAACATTCAACCATAAGAATGTTAAAAAAATATCCGAATGTTTCTGTACTTTATGGAAAACGTTGACCGTCGATCATTACATAATGCTAAACTTGCTGGAAAGCATTTTCTTCCTTTTAAGGATAACAAACAAACAATGTAGTGCAACGAAATTAAATGTATGAATTTGATGTATCCATATAAAATTGTGTTAATAGATGAGTAGCTGAAAAGTCGGCTATAAAGACGTCTGACGTGTAACTGATCTGATGTAAGAGATATTACAATTCTTACACACGAAATGCTGGAAAAATTTAATCAGAGACAGATATTTATGATGATAATATTATTTTGCAACACTTTGCAACTGGTAAAATATGAAAAATTACAAACTACCTACCTTGCTGCGATCTGCACAGTGTTGTTACTTGGAGCTGCTGGAAAGCTCGGGATGACGACTCTGGGACAAGACGGACATTTAAATACAAACGCATCGATAATTTTTTGTTAAGAGTGGGTGGGACAATTTCAAATTCCACATATTCTTTGACTACGGCAGGTTGAGACGTGACCGAAGAATGTAGGGGTAATTTTGACACATTATGCAGAATATGCAAAGTCTCCTCAGCTTGATTTGTACCTATTTGGATGCGTGCCGATATTAATCAAACTGATAATGTTTGCTTCTAATTTCACCATAACTGTAAATTTATCCTGGGGATAAGTTAAATACTAGATATGTGTAAAATTCCTTAATAATTTGGTAATTAAAATGTGTTAAAATTATATTTTCATATTGTATAAAGTTGAAATGTTAGAAACTCCCCGGGCTATAGACATAAAGCCTGTTGACACCGGTAACTAGACGACGGTCACCCGTAGCAAACGTTTTAGGTAAGGTGTAAGATATCAGACTGGAAAGACCTTTTTCAAGAGTTGTCTCGTGCCCAACTGACAAAAGTATTAAGTCTTTAAATTAATTTGATAACTAATACGTGATAGGTCCAGTGATTTTATAAGAATGCTGTCGAAATTGCAAAATCAAATTTTGGAAACCATAGTCCACCTAACTCCACCTGTTTACCTGACAGTCTTACGGTTATGTTATGACAGATGTTTATTGTCACAATACTGAGGAGGGAATAAGCCAAGGGATTATTACAATTTACCAACGCCTTCTCCAACATGTACATTGTTATTCGGTATCATACCATAGTTACTGATTGAAAAGGATCGATATTTCAATATCAATATCAAACCTATTCTTAACAATACCTAATTGATATTCATATAATCATTATATAACGAATTTCGTTTTCTATCAAGATAAAGTATGTTTATGTAAAAGTAAGTATATGTCTGGTTTCGAACCTTTGTTATTATGTAAAATTTGTCATCGATATAATATGACAAATATTGTTTGTTAATTATCTTTTGAATCAGTGAGTAAATTGAACATGAAATAATGAAATGGCATTACTTTGCCATAGCACTAATTGGTTCGACGAAATACTCATAATATTGTATACAAATTAAAACAGAACAAAACATAATATTCAATTTATAGTTTGATGATTTCTCATTTTTCAATAGATTTTACATATTTATTGATGCATTGCAAAGCAAATGAGGTGTCCATTTATTACTTCTCAATGGTTTCGTTCCGTTTTATTTTTTATATGAAATTTATTTATTTATATATATTTTTTTTATTTTTCTAACATTACTTACTTTTTACTATCTTATAAATGTATTTATATCATTTTATTCTAATTGTGCTTTTTTTCTTATAATAAGTATGGTTGATCCAGAAGACGAAATTGTTCCGTACACTTATATTTCTTATATGCTATTCAGATATGGTCAAATCCTTACTCGTTACGGTCATCCCATTGCTGTGGTTTATTTAGATTGGGATAGGAGTGTTCACACTGAATGTCCTACCTCTTCAAAAGATTGCATAATTTTATTATCATCTTAATGTGGTGACTGATAAAATTTAACATTGGCCGCATGCACTGATATGTTATAAATGAAGGTGTTTGTGTATTTAACATCAACAGAAAGCTACTTATAAATTCACGAGTTGGGATAATTTTACAGGTAGTCGACTATGTTTCTAAATAAATAAATCTTAGTTCGGGTAATACAAAGAACAAGTAAATGCCAAGAGCTGTGTAGTTTTATTGCTGATTGGCATGTGTACGTATAGCCCAACAGTCATAAATAGCATACGTGTCAATCACACACTGTGACAACACATTACAAGTTGTGTTTTGTACGTTAACATTTAATAAGATTAGACTTTATAAACACTCGAGTTGAATAATTAGTTTGACAATTTGTTTTTGCGTTCTGAAGATAAGACCTGACATTATCCCCTTTAATACAAGGCAGCTAGTGTGCAAATACAAAACAAACGCCATCACATTTGATTCAGCTGAAAAAATCTGACATAACTGACCATGTTACACAAACCCTGATTTAACAGAAAAAAATATATAATCAGTTGACATATCAAGGAAAGTGAAGAAAAGGCCAGATTATTGTCACAAAGAAGCGACGTGACAACTCATACATTATATCTGGTGATCATAAATGTGATGTTTGTACCATCCGGTCTGAAAGATACACATCTTAAGTATATCAGTTGTATGTATTTATGGTATTGTGATTATGAGTATAGGGTATATATTAAAGCCAAATAAAAAACTTTGTTACAACATCGAAGATAAAAAGATAGACGCAAGTTGGTCAATGCTCTCTCATGTTTATTTGTTTGAAAGTTGTCCTTTTAGTATTACAAATGGCAACATCTTCAAACTAGTTTGTTAGTTTATCACATGACTACCTTGATATGCAGTGGATTTTCTTTATCCTGTATAATGAAATGAAATTTGAAAAATTGAATTTAGACAATACATTGGACGTCATGACATTATGACGTCACGTCGAATAGAATTACAAAAATATCAAAAATTGAACATTGAAAAACATGAAGGTGGTTCGAGAATATATTTCAAAATCTTTTAAACATCCCATAGGTTATATTTCTTACATGAAACACGACTTTTAAATTTATAAACGCATAAAAGATGTCCTATGATATTTCAAATCGTATGAATACAAAACTCGCGTATTTACATGCAAAACACATACAGAATACTTCTATGAACCGATTGGTGAAATGTAAATAGAATTTTGATTTGGCTTATGACTTTTTGTTGGAGGCACGGTGGTATAGTGGTAGGACGCCGGTCTCATGACCGAAGGGCTGCGACTTCGACTCACGTCAAGGCACTGTGTTGTATCTTTGAGCAAGATACTTTACTCCGCTTGTTCCAGTCTAAATAGCTATAAATGAGTACGTGGTTGGGTAGAGCTAGAATTGTAGAATTATAGCTGTGAGCGCCGAAATGGCAGCACCGTCTGTATGCTCCCCAGGGAGTTGAGAAAGATATTGACTTGTTGCAAAGGCCTTATAACCACGAATAATAATTTGTGAACCGCTTTGAGACGACCTAATGACAATGTTGTGATTAAGCGGTATATAAGAACCTCGGATTATTATTATTATTATTATTATTGCTGTTTAGGAAATATATTTTGTTAAATATTGCAGATGCTTAGTTTAAGATTTATTGCGTTTTAAGTTTATTTCGTAGTTTCGAATACAAAAAGAAAGAAAAAAATGCATATACATATGTAATTTTGTTTGTGCTTTTGAGTAATGAACACTGTATTTCTATTTAATTGTTGAATACGTAAATACAAACTGCACCTCATTATCAAAGGTTGTGTAGTACATGTATGTTTGCTGATAGACATGCATATGTGTAAACCACTAGAGGTGAATAACAAACATGTCAATTTTATCTTGTTACACTCATTGACATGACGTGAGATTTCGTAGTTCGCACGTTCACTGGTAAACATATATGACTCTTGTTTTCATTATAACACTGGTATGTTGTCTTAACGATTTTTTAATGTTATGTAACAATGCTATACTGTTAAGACAATCATATTTTATTATCAACGTACGCAAATGAAACCATCTTAATGTTTAAGGTGGAGAATTTAGCAAACCCGGATACAATAATTCATGGAAGCAACTTTATGATTAGTTACCGGGAAAATATAACGTGCATATTATTTGCGCATGTTTCAGTTCTTTGGCAAACAGTTCACTGTTTCACGCCCTATGTGAAAAGAGCAAAAAGGATAGCAGGAAATGCTCCAAAACCATGAAAAACGAGTCCTAGGCGGCAATAGTAATACTTGTGCATTCATGTATCTTTTAAGTTGCTAATGTGCTATTATTTTCCTTGTATAAAACTAAAACTAACCAATACTCTCTGATATTTGAAATCAACATAATTATGTGTTTTTTAAGCACCTGCCTGTTTGTTTCAAAAGTAGTTAAGACCAATTAAGTTTTCCACTTTTTGCCCCCTAGTATCACTAATGGGTCCTTAGACGAAACATCTTTACGGTACAGTGCAATTTCTTTTTGGCATACTGCATCTGCTACTAAGTTTTGATTTACAATTGTTGAAACTAAGTGATATCTGTTAGATAGTCATTTGATTACGTCGTAAATAAAACACGTTAACACACTTAATGCTTACGACTGTCAAACCTTGGCAACCAATGAATGTTAACGACACTAACACATACTTTCATTGAAAGGTTGTGGTATATTTAATTTGTAAAAGGTTTATCTTCATTTGAAAATCGATTAAGTATTTAAGGGATCAGTTTGTTATCAGACGGTGCATAAAAGCCAAATGTCTTTATATAACAGAGAAGGAACCAGACACAGCGATCGATAGAGAATAGTGTGCAAGGAAAGTGTCAGGCTAGTGTTTGCTTCTTAGTCTATGTCAGCAGGAGTTGTCGTTCTTAGTAGCCAAAATTGATACTTACTGTTGATAGGATACATTTACTATTAAGACAGGAGTATGTATATGGGGTGGGGCTTAAGGTGGCGGAGGGGACTAAACTAAAACTTATAATATATCTAGAAATATGTTCCATACATAAACATATACGTAAACGTCCTTGCAATTAGCATATTACTTAACACGTTTTAAAACATGGGTTTATATAATAAATAAGGAGTTTACATGAACAACTACAACATATATTTTTCTCACTAGATTTATTCAGATTGTTTTGTATTAATTCACTTGACCACACGTATTTAAGATGAATTCGTTATGCGTTATTACTTATTTGCTCGTATTACAAATACTGTAAAATCATAAATTTTCGTTGGACATTAAATTTTGTTTAATTCGTGGATAACAAAAATCCACGGAAATTAAATCCCCACAAAAACATGAATTTGGTTTGATATCGATAGAAGAAAATCAAAAATCAGTGAAATATAATGTCCTTGAAACAGGCTTGTATATGAAAACCACAAAATTTTAACTCCACGAAAATGAAAGATTCTACAGTAGTATAGAGCATCTTTTATGTTAATCGTTGATATTGGTATTGCGGCTAACACCTCAACCTCGTCCCGGTATGTGTTATGTCGATTATCGATCTCAATTAACTCGCACTCATGCTACACAACATATTTATTACAGACATAGGTCTGTTATGTTTTGTATTGTTTTACAGCCCTTCAGCAATGTAAGTCGTTTAGGCGCAAAAACGGCGTAAAATAAGACATCCAAAAAAATTAATACATCAGACTATAAACAAAAAGATTAAAGCGGTTAAAAGAATACATCAATAGCATACTAATTGGTTGTCAAATATGTAATATGCTATTGTGAAGATGAACTGAGTGTGAATAATCATATTTTGATTGCACAGAAATTAGTTCAATTTGACATTGGAAAGATGCATTGTAAAACATTTTGTTTATATCAACATCAGAACAAGGTTTGTAATAGATATATGTTTCAGAAAAAGATATGTTTATAAAGTGAAGCCAATATTAGCAGATGAAATCATTTTTACTCACTTGAATAGTACAACGTGTACATAACTTATATGTCTAATATCTGAACGAGATGACTAGAATATTTAATTAGTTTGTGAACTTACGCGTAAATTAATTGCAATTTTAGTCTCAGAAATAAGAATAATGCTATATGAGTTTATGTATATTTATCTATTTTATAATATAAACTGATATCTAAAAACGATGATTTCTTAGGGATTTTACACTTAAAGGGAGATAAGACAGTATGGTAATTTTGCCACTTTGAATTTCTGCTGAAAACTTTATTAACTTACATTTGCAGGTTGTCAGTTTCAACAGAAATTTACAACTATCGTTTTTTAATTTTCACAATCTTATTTTAAAATTCACTCATTTATTTGCAACATTGTAGAAGTACCATTATAAGGAGACTTTCAATAGTTGATGTATTTAAATAATTTACATAAAATATGAGTATAAAAAGGAAATCATTAACTGATGCATTATAATCAAAAAATAAATAAACAGAATGATTTATAGGTAAGCAAGGTTTAATAAGCTGTATTTGAAGCTTTGGGGACATTTCCAATATAGCAATCATGAATTTGATGGAAACAGAAGAAAACCGTTGAAAGTTGAATATACTTCGTCGGGCTGACCGTACACAAAGTTATCTCCCCTGGCCTGGATATACACAGCATCTCCTGTAACGTTCATAAAAATAACGTAAGAATTTATATGTATTTATTCTTAAAGGACTTTTGTTTGTAGAAACGGACGTAAAATCACGATACACATGTACTATCAGAACCTACTGAATGTGACGTTACAATGGACAAACGAGACATCAAGCTTAGGTCAACCTCTTCGGTTGAAGTACATTGTACTTTGTCAGTAATGTCGGTTGAAAAGATCTGTAGATTTGTTCTGTGGGCAATTTAACGTATTGTTACGTTTGTAATTTATTAAGCAGCCAATGACAAAGCGTGCTATAGATGTGCATAATACATGTATGTGTGGCGTCATAGAGTAAGCATGTAATATCATTAAATCTTTATGACAAAAACGCATATACATATATTCGAAAAAGCAAAGACGATGCATAATCGCATGATAGATAAGGGATAAGAAAACCTTTTTATCTTTTCATCATCATACACAGCTGAATTTACATTTTGAGAAAAAAACTTTCAATTCATCTTATTTGAATTTCGTTTGGTAATTATAAAGCTCTGCTGTTACATCACAACATTACCTCTATCAATGGTTAGGACGACAGCATTGCTTGACGTGGCGTAATCATGAACTGCGTGCGCATATCCCGTTGCTATGTAATCAAGGTTATGGTAGAGATCAAGCCGGAGTGGCTGGTTGGATTGGGAAAGAGCGTGGAACATGAACACGTAGGTCCCGCCTGTATGTTAAAAGTATACTCTATCAATTGGTTCATTAGTTCGTATTCCAACTGTTGCTGTTGTAACGGGAAAGGATAGTGTGTTTCGAATACCGATAATGTATAATTTTCCAACTTGTTGAATACTATTTTCATAACACTGAACATTATAAGATTGCACAGCAAAAATAAACTTGCTGCAATTGAAAATGGCGACACAATGACTACTAAAGTGATCAATCAAGTGTCAAAAAGGTCACATTTTCGTTGGTGACATTTCGTTAGGCGCAGGAACTACACATTTTCAAAATGGCCACCGATGTGATAATTTGAAAAAACAAATATCGTAAAAAAGACCTGCAAACAGCAGACATTGACTTTTTGACACGTTTGTTAGATGCATGATCAGGATTTTTTAAAATAAAAATGTGATAATATGTTAAATTTTAGAAAATACCATACCTTCTGAAATTATTTTTGTATTATACATTATTTTTTTTTTTTGGTTTGGGGAAGTCATTTCAAATCCTGAAACATTTATTTTTCATTTAAACTTTCTACAGTTATGAACATATGAGGGATTAAACTTTTGAGTGAAAGTTTATTTAAGTAATAGACACGTAAACAACTAGATAATTAAATGGTGCTGTCTACTAAACAGCAAACGGATTCAGACAAACTGCAGAAACGATCCCCCATCTACGATACCATCTGATTTGTATCCCTGTGTAACTTACCAAGAGGGGCCTTGAAGACTCCTGTTTGGTTGTTGTACCCGTTTCCTCCGTTCACAAACACTCTGTCATACGTTACGTTGGTGGCAACATGTGACTGAGTCGTATTGGTAAGTCCGGCAGAAAATGCAACAACTGTATTACTGCTGCCGCCAGCTCTCCGAGAAGGTGGTGGAAAATAATTTGGGATATCTGTAATATTAGATAAAAAAATAAATAAAAAAACGATTCGTTGAGTTAGTACTTCAAATTATCTGAGTAATTGACAACAATTGGAAGTGTCTTGAATCATATACATAATTTGATGGATTTGAATATAGATATACTAGTAAGGTCAGCAGTCCATGGACCGAAATGAGTAGTAATATGAGCGTGACCAACACCAATACAGAAGTCACGTTTGGCTCTCGCTTTATGTTTGTTTGGCGGTGGGTGAAAGGTTGAGTATGTCATAATGAAACTTGTATTTCTTTTTAAAATGTCTGTTTCATAATCTAAAGCTTTCAGACAAAAGAGACGTGCTATTTTTTTCTCCCAAAAGTCACAATAAATCCTTTCAGGTAGTTTGTCTCTGTGGTAATTGTTTTCTTGATCATTTTCACTCATTTATCTTTAGAAATAATCGTTAGTTTCCATTTTAAAATACACTTGATACCTAATGGATGTTTTAATATTCAACGAAATCGGATTTGGTCATGACTGTCCCTGGTTTATATGTTTCAATCCGTATTTGCAGGAATATTTGGCTTTGAATTTCAACATATGTGAAAGTATTTTTCAACATTTCAGTTGTGATAGACAAACCAAACTGATTACAATGTAACATGGTTCCAGTTCATGTGTGTATAGGTACCTGAAAGTTGGACAGCGTGACTTACTTAAGGGTGTGAAACTTTCCGCACACACAAGACACGCAAGAAACGCGACTGCTGCCTTACAAATCATCGTGTTCGGATGATGCCTGAAAAATCACAAAATAGTTTTACTAGATTCATTGTTGTGTAGAACCCTTTGTCACATGACAGTTTGTGATCCGTTTTCCAGCTGTAAATAGGTTCAAACATTATAAAGATGTTAATGTATATCCAAAGAACCACAACAACAGAATGGATCCGCATTGTTCACAGGACAAGTACTCGACAATCAAGTGAATAGGTCTTGTTATGCATTAACCCGGTCAAACAGCTAACCGCTTGCCTTTTTTTGTCATGCAATATTTCCAAAGTTGTAGAAAATTGATGTGAATTTATTCTTCTTGTTATTATTATTTTTCTTTAATTTCAAAGATATGTAACATGAGGAAGGAGATTTAGAGGAATAACTGCTGGGTTGTAAGTTTTAAAACAAGCAAAAAGACATAGAAAAACTTGTTTTTCACAAGATTCGCAAAACGGTCTTGGTTAGAAAAGCGCATAAACTCTAACGAACTCCTCATTTGATACAGTCACTTCGCAGTTTGATATGGACATTCTTGAGCTCAATTAGTTCAAGTCAGCCTATGTATTATGACAAATGAACTCATGTTTTCTGTACCAGGATCAAACTTAATTATAAGCAAAAATCTACCATATACATGCTCCTCGTTATCATGTTTTACACGGGGTTTTAAGCAGCTATTCCGTATTGATATAAATATCAGTTATCAGGTGTAAGGTATCAGCATATTTATAAACAATATTAGTAATAAAACATATAGTGAAATACGTATTCACAGTATATATATATTACTAGAGAAGAAATAACATGTTCATCTTATTGTTATAATGTATGTGTTTCGGTACCGACTGTTATCTTTGCTTAGTACATAGATAGGTATACATATGAGCTGTCTAAACTCATAAGCATAATTAATTCATAACTTTGTTTTGTTCAGGATTAAAAGTTTTCGCATCAGCTAGTCGTTTGCCGTTGGTGCTTAAGGGGACACCGCCAGAAAAGTAGTAAGAGCGAAAGGAAAGGGTAGATGTCTAAAATGTTGAAATGATTAAGCAGATCAGTTTTGATTTCTTCCGTGTAGACTAAATAGAATCCGAAAACGAACCCGATGCTGTAGGGGGCCATTTTTGTCGCCTCCTACGACAATATACAATTGAATACACAATTAGTTTAATTAGTATAAGTATTTTGTTTTCATGAACAGATGCAATGTTTTTTTTATATTTTAGCAACACCATATTCCAAAATAGTGGAGAACTTACCTGGAGTAGAAAGTATTATGGACCGATAAAAACCGGTGCGTAAGTCATGGGTCGTGTGAATTGTACAGCTGGGCGATAGGAGGCCATGTCAACATAGTAAAGATAGCCATACCGTCACAGAAGTTCAGCTTACGAACGGACCAAATTTAAAGGTATAAAAATGTATGTTTATATATCTAACTTTTTTCACAAGTTTGCAAATTACTGAATTTGAATACATGCTTTATTTATGAGTGTTTGCAATTATCAATTAGAATAAGAATCAGGTATCAAACGCTCTCAGATAATAATCCATATTGCATATACTAGTCATTATTTGCCAGTTCAGTTATAAAGTGTATCTGTATGAACTATTGGTACAATTTGTATCTCAATCTAACTCGGAGGTAGATAAGTAAACGGCGCAGCAAAAAGTATTGTACAAAGTGTGATCATAATACTATAAAAATATTCTTAGTAACAAACACAAGATATTTCTCAAAATGTCTTATTTAATATAATTGCAGATGCTTCAGAAGATTATTTGTGTTTGCCTTTTGGCTGTAGCCTCAGCAAATGGTGGTAAGCTGTCGGTGTTTGATGTACAATTTATGTTGTCTCTCCTTTAGTTTTGGTGTCTTTTCATGTCTTCTGTTTTTAGTGTTAATGTGCATTTGACGTAGTCTAAATATGAATATGTATTTTTTTGCATATACAAATATTTTGTTCAATGAATCTTCATTATTTACAAGACATAATACAATTCAATGCGCGTAAATCAAACGACATATTTCATTCATTTACTTTATAAAGGTGTTTCCTTACTTTTCATTTGTAGTTATTTAATATACCACATTAATTTGTCTAAATATAAGAGTTACAATTCAGCAGAAAATGCATCGCCATTGTCCGTTGTCTTGTACTTAGTGGTATGTAGTTGTTAATTGTTCAAATCATGACAGAACCATTTTCATTTTCCACACTATTCTACGCACCCTTCAAACTTAATATTCTTCATCGTGTAGAGGACAGGGCATCATCGGGAGATCAGCCGGGAGAAGTGGCCTTTTCTGCGGGTCTGACGAACATGTTAACGCTGACTCATACAGAACGAGTATTGTACGACCGGATATACACAAACATCGGCAGCAGTTACCATAGTAACACCGGAACATTCGTATGTCCCACCGCCGGAATATACGTGTTCCAGTTCCATTCCGTCGCACATCAGGTAAACTAGACTGTCAACAGTTCGAATTTTGAAATCGATTGATACAATTAATAATCATTCAAATAATGAGATTTGTGAATTAACTCACAGAATAGTTCGATCGTTATGTTGCAATTCTTATTTTGTTAATCACCGATAATAACGATACGAAGAAGGCACATTTGAACAGAAACAACATGAAAATTTAAAATTGACAATGAGGTAACAATTTTAATACAGTTTTGAATCAAATTGAAATATTTAAGAAAAATAGAAAAAGGATCATCTGAAAGTTTGAAGTTTATAAAGTAGTTAAATGAAAGGCAAACATAATCAGAAACAAAATATATCTCTCTTTACAATATTAAATCTGTATCAGTTATAAGTTATCATAATTAATCAAATAGTTTGCGAGCAACTAAAATAAAGTTATTACCCACAGACCGTAATTATAGTACAACATTATAATACATGGTTAAAGGGAAGTAACTAGAATTTAGAATTAATATTTGAATTTTTAGTCAAATTATTTGTACATTATTAATTATTGTAATGTTGCCAGTATTATAGTCTGTGTTTAGATTCACATGAAGTAATATAGTAATTAAATATAGATTTAGGGTAAGTATTATAGTCTGTGTTTAGATTAACATGAAGTAATATAGTAAATAAATATAGATTTAGGGTAAGTATCATAGTCTGTGTTTAGATTCACATGAAGTAATATAGTAATTAAATATAGATTTATGGTAAGTATTATAGTCTGTGTTTAGATTCACATTAAGTAATATAGTAATTAAATATAGATTTAGGGTAAGTATTATAGCCTGTGTTTAGATTCACATGAAGTAATATAGTAAATAAATGGAGATTAAGGGTAAGTATTATAGTTTGTGTTTAGATTAACATGAAGTAATATAGTAATTAAATACAGATTTAGGGTAAGTATTATGGTCTGTGTTTAGATTAAATGCAGCGATTAGGTTATACGATTTCTAGTTTGTTTAAATCCTTATAGACTGTGTTAAGCTTAACATTAAGTGATGGAGTAATACAATATAGATGTTGGGTAAGACTTATAGTCTGTGGTGTGGCATGTCGAATGTGGATGAAGATCAAATTGGAATTTAAATTTACAAACAAGACGATACGCTGTTAATATGCTATGCTTGAAGTTAAAGAATATAATGGTAATATGATATTAAGTAAGGCACGACAGCTTGATTGTGAGTAATAAAGTAGATGCTTGGTATTTTGTTATGTTCAATAGTGTGTTATTTTAAGACAGGTTCGCGCATTTTACATCTTATATTCATTAATTAATTTTAAAGCAAATTCAGTTTTGTTTTGTTTTGTTTCTTGTAGAACAAGGCGGCATGGCTTCAGCTTTACAAGAATTTTGAGTACGTGGCATCCACTTACGGACACACCTCGAACGACTACGCCTCCACCGGGAACTCAGTCATCTTACATCTATCCAAAGGTATTAATCGGGCTTAATGTATCAACAGAGAAATGCATACATAAACGCTAAACTGAACTAACGTGGTTTATAGCTTGAGTTACATGTACGATGTGTAGTAAGTATGATCAAAACATATATATATCAATGAAAAGTGAGGTTTAAAACAGAGCATCACACAGTCACCACCGATGTACACAAAACAAGCAACTACATATTTGTTAATATATATCTTTAATAGTTTAAGATTTTTGCAAACACCAAAAATCAACCAAATAATGCGCAGAAATGACACACTGCAATCAAACAACCATTCTACATATGTACAATGTATCAACGCACAATTTACAGATCCCGATCTGTAGGTTTCCGTTCATAGACTAGATTAATCTTGCAAGCAGTGTTATGTCCTGGTAAATCGTATTCAATAACAGTCGGTGTACATACGCTCTAAAACACTCAAAACATTCTGTACCGCAAATTTACAGATGATTCGCACTTGAATGTCAAACAGATGCAATGAAAGTCATTGATATACACTGAAAGGGATGTGACTGGGAACACATGCGTATATATTTGTTTCCTTAACGCTGTAATTGAAATACACATTTCTACAATCAAAATCCGATAGAGATTTAAAGCTGTCTTTCTGAATGTCTTGGTGGGAGGGAAGTAACTCTTTTCGACTTAACTATGTATTAATCACGTGGCGCGAGCGATACATAAGGTATAACATGAGTATCAACTTGAAATAAAAGTAGTGTTCTTGCATAATTCTAAATATCGTTCATTGTGCCACTGAAAATATGACTTTAACATAATAATCGTTCATACAGGATGGAATATTTCGATTATTAAAAGAAAAACGACGGTAACGGTTTCCGATATAAGTAATACATAAGTAATACATGTATTTAATTGCAATCCGCATATCATATCTTAAGTGTAAGAATAAAGTTATATATTGAAGTCACCAGGTTTCATTCGATTTGTCTGCAATCATGTTTATAATTATAGAAAAGGAAGAGAAAATGCAGTAAAACGCTGGAAAGCCCTTTACACTGTACAACCATAGTTTGACAATACCTTTTTAGAATTACATTGTAACTGTACTCTGTTTGCATTAACTGCAACTAATGGTTGGCAGGGACTTTTCATCGCAGTTCAAATGTTGGCGTTGAATTCAATCAATTCATTTCAGTAGTGAAAACAAAACAACAAGGCACAGTAATTGGCATAATTAAAAATGAGACCTGCATATCACAAAAAGGAACAGCATAATTTCTTTTGTTATTATGTTGACAATAATACAATTTATCCCTAACCTTCATCAATCTCCATTTTTAGAGACCCTTTGTTGTGAGTGTATCCATCATCAGTCGATATTTAACAAGGAATGCATGATATTAGGACGAAGCTCTTGAATACCGAATCATTTGGGACGTGTAAACAATGTAGGCAGAGGAAGCATAACGAAATGGGGGAGGGGGAAAGGGGGTCAAGATTTTTAAGATCAGATAATCAAAATCGTCTCTGTTACCGCACAGTTTAGTAGCAACTTATTCCTGTGTATGGAGTTGAAAGTAAAGAAAGTAGAAGAAACCGTTATGTCGATTGACAGCTCTGGACGGTATATAGATCGATGTAGTCAATGAAATTCTTGTTACACGTATTTTGAAACAACATTTCATCGATATACCTAAATGTGAAAAAGAAGGACGTAACGTTTGTATTACTAGTCATGATATGACCTGTAAGCTCGTCAATAAATCCATGTATGAATAAGGATTGATCTTCATTTTAACGGCGTATACGGTAATACATGTATGAACGCAGTTGGTAACGAACATATTTTATGGTACGCGTTAGCTCTCCATTAAGAACATGTTTGTTACCAGCTTCGTTCAAACTACCATATACGCCGTCGAAATGAAAGGCAATCCTTACATTTACATAAATAATGTTTAAATGTTATTGTCAGAAGACAAAAACAATCGAAGCGGGTTGCTACGATGTTACGTGTAGTCAAGAGTAGCCGTAGTTCCAGTGAATCTGCATTGATATATGAAAACAAAATATAAAATAGACAGTGAACAACACTAGTTTTCTTCTTTTCATAGCTTTTAAATTTTAAATTTATTAACCGGGCCTAGCCTAAAGAATTTTTTATTGATTTTAATGTTAACGTCTTTGCAACTCCCCGACTTGGCGATTGACTCTTATTACTCCATGACATAAGTTTGTTTCAAGGACATAAAATCGCGACAAAAACACCCAAATAGGCAGAATCATAACTAAATAATTATGTAAGTTTTGGTTTACGAGCCGTGATGCAAACTGCTTTCACCTAAATGGCCAAATGTGATAATCTGCGTTATGTAAGTCTAGATTAATGTTTCTAATTTCCTATTGCCTAGGTGACGAGGTGTATATCCAAGCTGTCGACCCTGCCTACGGTTACGCCACAAATCTGTACGGGGCCAATGATGAGGTCTACTGCACATTCTCGGGCTATATGATCTCCCCAGTCTTCGAGGAAATACCTGGCAACGGAAAGTGATGATGTCATAATGTTGTGCGTATCGTTACCTCAAATAAAACAAGTATTCTTATTTTATTGAAAACAAATGTGTCATGTTCTTTTTTCTCCAATGTAAGTTTTAAGACACATGGTCTCTTACAATGATATGATATCGATTTGTAATCGTTATACGTCGTTATATAAAATTTAAAAAAGAGATAAAAGTAAAAACAAAACTCTATAGTGTTGCCTAGTAATGCTTATTTAATCTCAGACTATCTTCGTGGACTTTTTTAGGAGATGAAGATTTTTTTTAATGTATTTCTCTTTGAACTGGTGATTTAATCCGACAGCGTAACAGTGTTGACATTCAGCTTAATCCATACCATAATACCCAGGGTACAAGTTACCCGGTTAAGATAAATCACCGGTGAACTCGTTTCACCTCTGTCAAGTACATGTACCCCGATAAAGTTTACTCGACAAACAGAAATTGCTTTTCGCCGAAATATTTTAGATAAGAATCCCAGTATAACATAATTGCACAAAAGGTATGAATGGTGTTATTTTAGGATAAATTTAAGGGATCATCATAACATGTGAGGTCATAACCTGACCATTGGATTTCCTTTGAACCAATCAAACGTGAGGTAACACGGTCACAGACAGATGTCGAAGTTGCACACACCCGTGTGCTAGGTAGGGTGGTGTGCTGGTTTTAAGGAAAGGAGTTTTACATGTTCAAGTTGTGATGTTGTATATGTAGTTAAGATAATTTGCCCACCGACAAAGACATGGGAAAGTAGAATGAATACCCCCGTGTATATACACTAGAGGGAGCTGTGTATTAAATAAGTTAAATAAGAAGCATCAATGTTTTTCTTTTGTTCTACCTGATATTACTGTATGTATACTTTAAGCTCCACAAATGCGGAAAGAAAACTTCTATGCTAACTTAAGCATACAGTTATCAGAAAACTATTGATTGATCCATTGTATGGAGCTGCCGATGGGTATTTGTAATAATAAACAAAGTATAGCTTCAATTTAATAGCACAGACAGTGTGCAGCAGTAAATGCACACCTATATCCATTACAGATTACATTATTTCCCATGATGCAGCAGCTTAATCAAAAACAGCTGTATTGTATTCCGTTTTCGATAAAAATACATGTAACAAGAACTGTTCAAGATTTTGTTTGTATCCCCCTAGAGTGTGACAGATACTGTAAAACGTGGAAATGTAGTAGTATGACGTCACGCGAACAATCCGATACATCGTCACAAATTGCCAGCACTTGACGAGAGAGGTCGTGCGCATCAGGGGGAAAATATTAAACAAGAATGTAAAAGCTGCAAACTATTGTGCTTGAATAATAGGAGAAAAACAATCATACCCTACTTTAAAAGTTTAACAGAGTGTCCCCATCTCACGGGAGGAATATTTGGTTGCCTGACACCTCGGCAGATTTTCAGGTTAAACAACCAAATAAATCACTCCGGTGGTTGAAGATTTCTCAGTCACACTCCCAAGGTAGGGGAACATTCTATTAATCTTTCTTATCAGTAAGTGCTAAAAATGTCAAATTGTATGACTTCTGTTACAATGAAATAGATAAAACGTTATGCAACAAATACTAACATTACAATCTGCCCTGCTAGGCTAAACAACGACAGAGAGTTAAACAGGCCTGGCGAGCCAAACAATCTTACTCGTTTGAAGGAGGCACTTCCTAACTTGAACATCAACAAAATTATCTCTGCAGTTGTGCAATTTCTACTTCATTCCACCCAGAATGTATGCACTGTGATAAATATTTGACTAGTGCCTGTTTTAACGTTCTCGACGAACAATACATGGTATAAATCATCACCACACAGTAATGTACACATTAGTTGACAAAGGTTATGGATAGTGACACGCATAAAGCAACGGTAAAGATCCCATATCAAAATGTCTTTTCTTTATTATAAGATCATTGACAGTCAGTCTTGGTGACCATATTATATTTCATTAAATGCGACGTTTTTAACTGTTAAAACTGCTGTGGTCACTTTTATTTGACGGACAATTTAATCACAAACAAAACTGATAAGTGAAATTGTGGTAAGTTCTTCAAAACAGGCAGTTTGTTTGGGAATTTGGAGAATGGAGCATAGCATTTTGTAAAAAGAAATGGTTTAAATGCAAAGGAAAGGATAACAACCAATGGAATATAAAATTACCATTCATACATTTACCTATCTACTTATTTGTGAGGGTAATAATTTAAATAAGAAGTACGAATAAGTAGATTTATATATGATACCCCTTGTCAGAAGATGAATAAACACTACGTTAACCTTTGCCAGATACCAACAAATATCACAGATTGTTTAACCAACGTAAATCTCATTGATTACGTTCCAATCGTACATACTTTTGATCTTTTTGTTTTCCATTAAGTACAAAAGAAATCCATAATGAATCTTCAAGGTCAAGTTCTTTATTAGCTTGAATTTTGCGAATCATCGGTTTCACAAGTGAAATATCAATATATTTATCCACACACAGTACCTATTGGGAAATCTGACGAGTATGTAACTACCCTTAAATCTCGGTAATAAGATGCGACCTATTTCCTTTTTTTAGTAAGGAATCCCAGGCTTATTTTCGACGTCGGCCTTTTTTCGGGGTAGTCTTATTTTCGTTTTTCAGTCTGTAGACAGTAAGCCATCAATGGCTTATTTCCATGTCATTCCATTTATGTATATAAAATTAGAGTGTTACACAAATGTTTTTTGAAACTATTCTAATCATTTTTCGAATTGTTTACAATGATAAAATATTTAAATTTTACTGCGTTTCGTAGTATAGCAGTTAATAATGGTTTGTACGTTTCATTTACTAATAGAATAATGAATATTTATTGCGAATTATACAGGTGAAAGTGGGAATGCAAAGTGATTGAATCGGTCGGTGAAAAGTAAGGTGCACGAGATGTACGTGTGACAGGGCGGATGTATACGTGGTTGGTTCGAATAGGGCGGCGAGGCACTCTAGCCTGAGACGCCAAAGAATACGGTCGATTAAAAAAATTCTAAGTTTTTTAAAAGATTTCTACAACTATTGTTTAGTGAATCAGTATTGAAGTTGTTACCATAGATGATCTAGGACATCATAAGGTTTTCCAGAGATTTTGTGGCTTATTAAGTTTTATTTCTCTGGTTTTTAGCTCGCCTATTCGAAGAATAGGGGGGCTAATGTAGTCACCCCGGCGTCGATCATCACACTCAATACACAGTTGTCTATTATGAGTTTAAGTCATTTATATCGAGTGTAAGCAATGTGCTGGACCATATTTTCATAGTTTATGGCCCAAAAAAAGCTTAATTGGACTTAGTAACATTTGAGGTTAAAGTTTTTGGGCAAGTTTTTTTGTGAAGTGTTGGACAGCCACCATCAATACGCTGTTGTCTATTATAAGGTTGAAGCGTTTATATGGAGTGTTAGCAATGTTCTGGGCAATATTTTCATATTTTATGGCCCAAAAAACAGCTCAGTTGGACTTAGTTTAATTTGAGGTTCAAGTTTTTGTGCAAGTTGATGGGTAGTGTTGGACCACCACCATCAATAGGATGTTGTCTATGATAATGTTGAAGTATTTGTATTGAGTGTAAGCAATGTGTTGAACCATATTTTCATATTTTATGGTCCAAAAACTTGGACCATAAAATATTGGTCTTTGTTAATTTCTTAACAATCACTTCACATAGATGTTTCTACAGTCCTTGAAATATCCTGGTGTTAAGTGAGGTGGCAAATAAAATTACAGGCACTATATCAACATTATACTATACATGTGTTTCTATTGATAGTTGCAGTATTATAATAACATACATAGGCGAGCTATGCTGTTCTCCGACAGCTCTTGTTAACCGTGGATGTCGTGGAGGTGGTTACCTGTAATGTAATACATGTATGATTGTCCAGATGACATGGAGGAGTCAAAATTTGAAATGATTTGTACATAGTTTAATAGATATCATGCATATTGAATAAACGGCCGCTCTAGACTACCGGCATATATGTGTTATTTACATTGATTTGGAGGGGTATTATCATGGGTAAATAGGACAGACGTAATGTGATATTTACACTGTACCTGTAAAACCTGTTTAGGCCAACGATACAAATGCGACTCATACACAACATGTCTTTTCGAAGCCGGTTTATTTTTTAGATATGTTTTTAAGGTTGCCTTATTTTCAAATCATATTATCTAAATTTTGGGAAATTATTTTACCTTGTTACTTTTTTGTCACGTGGTATGACCAACAACTGTTGTTTCATTATCAAAAATGAAGTAAGTGGTGAAAAGTGATTTAAGGAGTCGCCATATCTGTAAAATGCTCCGTCTTCATTTGAGTTAAGCTGTAGCGAGTTCGGCAATCCCCAAACAAACAAACAAACGTAAAAGATATGCACTACAACACATAAGCTCACTCGTCTTATTTGTGTTTTAACTTTTTGTAGATCCCTCAAACAACTTTATGATGCCATGGAAGGTGTCAACCGGCAACGACCGCAACATGTCTGTCTTACTCTGTGAACTGTACATAAAACAAACCAGTCCCTGGTACTGATGTCAAAGAGATTGCTAGCCTGTTACACGTCCAGATGAAGGGAACAATCCTGACCCCTTACCATTTGTAACAATGTCGAGGGAGGGGTGGATGAGTAAACATATTACACAGAATCAAAATATGAACCTCGTTGTGTTTGATTTTGATATTCGAAGAATGATATGAAAGTTTACTTTGATCAGTTATTGATTTGTTTATCGCAAATAAGTCAATGTGGGGAAGGTTGGGGTTTTTTTTTTGGGGGGGGGGGTTGTTGTTTTGCTTTTTTGTGAAAATTTACTTTTTTATGTTGAAATGAAAATTGCATGAAGGAAAATAAAAATACTCTTTGATATGGAAATGGTCCTTCAAACCTGGTGACGCTGCATTTTCGTCGATGCCCCCAGCTACGGGAATGTCGAGGATACTAAAAGTTTATTTTTTCTCTTCTCAGTTACGCCGACATTGAAGATATCAAAGTTGATGTTGTGTCCCTC